TCTTTTTCTCATTGTTTACATGAAACCATCAACAATGAATCGACTCTGTAAGGGATTCACATGCTAATGACTGAAATGTCATCTTGTCACTCTGAAACTAATGAGTTTTTACTGTAGCGTGATTGTAGGTAGTGTATGAAAGATTAAATGAGTGCCATTGCCTGTGTATTTTCTAGAACAGCATGAAATTATTATTTTTGTTACGAATAAATCTGCATTTTCTTTTCTTTTTTCTTGATTAATCGTGAAATGTCAAAAAGTGTATGGGGAAAAATGCCATCCACTGCCTCCCAAAGCCAAAGCTGACATCTTCAAATGTCTTGTATGTTTGACCAAAACTCCAAAAGCCGAATATATCTATGCTTGATATTAAACACAGGAAAGCAGCAAATCATCTCATTTGAGGAGGTGAAACCTGAGAATGTTTGGGATTTCTTCACAATTTCAGCCGGAAAATTACTGAAAAGATGAATCGATTATCAAAATGGTTTCAATATTGGTCCAGTATTTACTCTGAATTATATTTTCTGTGATTTACTAGAATATTTTACCCACTACAGCCACAGACGGATCAGAATACCAGAAATTGTTCAGTAGTCCTTCTGACAATTCTTTTAGCAGATATTGAAAATCACCACATACCAATAATCATCATAGAAGAGCAATTTTACTATTTATCTCAGTGGAATAAAAGAGAAACTACTTTAAGTTTTAAACTCCTAAATATCTTCAGCAGCTGCAGGATGTAAATCAAATGAGGTCTGACCTCTTCACTATAAGTCATGCTATATGGAAAGGTCTGCTTTACCCCCAGTTTTTCAGGCCCTTGTATGACTTGAAAAATCTATCACTTTAATTTGTCCAATATGGCATTCTTTTGCACATACTTGGCAAAGCAGCAGGCACATGAAGTTGGTTTACTTTTATCTTGCTGAGGTCGTTTGTCATTTTGATTGAGTGTCATCATAAAAGTGACATAAGTGTTTGTGCAGTCGGATCTTTGAGGATATCAAATAACCAGCAAGTATACACTACAGTTGAGCACAGTAGGTCCACAATGATGACTGTCGAGTTCATGTCTTTATATGTGAAGCTATTTTTAGAAGTTTGAATCATGAGATAAAGTTTTTACCTGTTTTCTAATAAGTCTCAGGTTTCCACCAGCTGCGTTTTGACGCATCCCTGCCAACAACCACAAAGATCACTGTGCTTGAGTCATACTTGACACGGGATTAAGAAGACGATTCAGCAAAGTTCCGTCTCATTTCTAGGAATTAATTTATGGAAAGAAATAAGCTCACTCATCTCAGCCTCTTTTACATTTATTTGCAGATTAATTAATTCCAGATTTGCAGGACGTGCTCAAATTGTACACCAGTATTTGTGTCCGTTTATGTCAACACGCTAGATGTCTTCCCAAGTATCAGGCATGATTTGCATGGGACACTAAAGGGCAGAGAACAGCCGAGAATTATGTTAATGCTATTCTATCAAGTCATGTTTGCCATTGTGAGCATATAATGATAGTAGATCAAGCATCTAATACACTATTAAGCATGAACTATTTATGCAGGGCTGACACTGTATTACATTCAGTGTGAATGTCACCCTAAACAGGTCAAAACATAAAAACCCCGTTGAGGTTCTTACAAGCTGCCAAAGCTTTAAGCACGTCTAAAATTGTGTTTGCACTCACTTTGTCGCCTTGGAATTGGAAATGTAGATACATAAAATTTTAAATGTCATGGATGCTTTTTGTTTGTTTTTTGATAAAAATGTTTTAATACCTTTTGTTTTCAGTCTAGCTGTTGCTTCACTCTGAAGAATCCCCACAGAGATATACGCAGTTGGAAAAGAAACAAGACTCTTTTTTTGCATATTGTGTTTATACTGTATTAGCACAGTCACTGAAAGGTCAAGCCTCATGTGGGATGATTAAAAATAAACCAAACTAGACTTCCCTGTAATGTCAGATCAATGCTGCCGAAGTTAAATTGATTTGATTCAAATCAAGGAGAATGTACAACTTCCTGTGTGACTTTCATAATGCAACTCAATGATGGAAGTCAGTATGACTTATAACTTATAACTACAGAAGAAATGCAAATGAACACTCGGCGGCAGTGGCCACTCAAGAAGGTAAGAACATTTATGTCGGAACAGCTATACTTATTAAACCTGAAATGGGGTTAACTAACTTGTAAACTGTGTTGAAGTACAAAATACTTAAAGCAACCAGGTACATAAAAATCATATATTAAAACCTGGAGCCTGGCTTGTAAATGAAGAGGTCTATCTCACACTGAAGGTCTTCTCGGTGCTTCTTTTGTACCCCCCTGCAAGCACAGTGTCCCAAGCAGAAGCAGATCTAAAATAAGAAACCAGTGAAAGTGAAATTAATTTAGAATTTAAAAAGGTTGTAAATAACCAGAAAGAGAAAGTAGCTACATTAGCATTATAAGTGCAGGTACATGTTTTGACCACAGTGTAGCACCACTCTTCTGTTACCAAACTATTTTAGAATCATAAAAACAAGGACAACAGCAATATGTTTTCAGTTATCTGCAACTTTTTAACAGTATATTGTCTATTTGCATGTTGGTCTGGTGCGTCACCAATACAAATGGCCACCAGCTGCTGCTGCGCAACATTTTTCATCATGTTCCAAATCTTAAGTCATGTGTTGTCACAGATGGAAGTGGGTACTAATAGTCTTTCTGGATTAAGTCCATAACCGCTGGTCTTTTGTCATGTTTATGTGCTGTGTTTGAAAGGTCTTTTAGTGGCTTTAGCTCTTCACAGTGATCAGTGACCTAGCATTTTAGCTTCAAATGTGTTCAGTCACACAATACTTTTTTATTTTATTTATTAAAAGATATTAACAAATGTATTAAGTAGAACTGGAGGAAATTACATCAACTTTATTGTGATGTCGTGGAATACGGAAAGTATTAAACCTGTCATAAATCATTTATTTATTTATTTATTTATTTATTATGGTACCATAACAACCTTCATAGGAATACTGATTAAGTGTTTCAGGCCTTAGAGTAGTATTGGCACTGTTCGTGAGACAGAGAGGCTGAAAATGCCACAGCACATTTACCGGTACAAGCTCCTTAACATGCATAATACATATTAAAAACATAAGCAGCATGTGTAAGTCCTAAAAAGTACTAAAACAAACATCTGTATGATGTACTTCAGTTATTAAATAAACAAGTAAAAAAAACTATAATGTTCATCTTTCATCTCCCTAGAATAACTGCACTTTTAGCAGGTTCAGCTCTATAATGGCCAAAGTGTGGATGCTTTGGTGTAGACGAGAGGTTCTACTTTGAATGCTCTGCAGCTACTTGCCACTTCTGTATTTTAAATAGTAACAGTATGTACATGGGCTAACCTTATATGCTTTGTTGTATTGTCCCATTTTATTGTTACAGTCTTCTTGCTCTTCTTACATATTACCAAGGTTGGTTGTACATTTGATCTTTTGTAATCAAAAAACACTTCCTTACTACTGAAGTCACTCACCTTTTTGGAACTAACTCCTCCACCGTGAGCAATGTTAGTTTCGCTTTCCGCCATGTTTTCTGTTGCATTGTGTAACGCGTTGTCATCACGTCGGAATATTGCCGTTATCACGATATGCATTTTTTTGCATATTAAAATTTATACAGATATATTGTGAATGATATATGACACACCCCTAAACAAAATTTATATTCATCGTATTAACAGACAGTTGCTCTTTGGAGAGAGATATATATATCCATAGGGAAGCTGTTAAATCCCACTGCTGTAAAAGTTAGATAATTCAAGCATTAATCTTCTGAAAGTGATAAAATTTTATGTCAGCCTGATAATGGTTTCTGCATCACTGAAGGTTTGATTGAATGCAGAGAGATAACTTTGAGGTGCTGGAAAGGTTGTAGGTTTCACATAGGAGGAGGCAGTATCCATCTCCAGCAGGTCCAAAACATAAATTGTCAGTAGAGCTGCATAGTGTGCATTTTTGTTCTGTATGCTGGGCTGTTTATATATCTTGTTTTACGGAATAGATGCTGTTTGAGGAACATCAGATGCCATCTTCTTTAAACTGTGCACCTCACTGCCTGTTTTACAACACTGCGTCATCTTCAGCACAGATATTTTGCCTGCTTTCAACTTTCTTATGATAAACTAGTGACATGTAGGCCTATTATCACACGTTTTATGTGTTATGATTTTTTTTGTGTCAGTTTTTCAGGAGAAGTGATGTAACCATTGATTTGCATAGTATGCTTTGATTTACACACTTCCTTCTCCTAAAAGAGCTCGTCTAATGTTGCTCGTACACAATGCGCATGAGTGCAGTATTTATGTGTATGATATGGGACAGCATTAATAGCTCCCATTCATTCATTAGCTGTGTGATTGCTATTGATTTGTTGGAGCCAGTTTCAGGGGGCTTTGAAGCTGCAGAGTACAAAGCTCGACATGCCAATGTGATACGTCATCATGCCACTTAGACATGCCTCATAAAGAATAATATGATCTGCCCTCCTGTATAGAATCTCAGTGGCTTTGTATGCAGATATGGATTATTGGGATTGATGGGAGGGGATTTAGATTGAAATCTTTCTTTTTCTTTTTCTATTTCAATTGCTTTTCAAATGAATGCATAAAATGATTGCTGGATGGGGAGGTGTGCTGGAATACATCAGAAGGAAGATAAATACTTGCTGTTGAGGAGTGTTTGGTCAGCAGAAGTTTGTGAGAGTGTGTGTGCTTTGGATATAAGCGAGTTCCACAAGGCTGATTGAATTTCAGATTATGCTTACCCACCAGCAACCATCTACATTTTGTCTTCATTCTGCATGCGAAACATTTATTATGTTAGCTTAACTGTTAAAAAGTACGTCATAAAAGTACGACAATGCTTGGAGGTGAACCATTTCAGGAATATAATGGAATTGAATATGCATGCTTACTTGCCCATTCACCTGTGTGTCTTCCAGGAGGCAGTGGGGGAGAATGCAGGAGTCCACGGGCCAGCGGAGGACAGGAAGGAGAAAGTGCCCAGCCCCCATCTCAGCCAACTGGTGGTCCTCACTAACAGTGGGACTCTTTATGGCCTAGCACAGAGGGTGGTAGCCACTGAGTCTCTGTAAGTACTCTCTGCACAACATTCCAGTTAAACCACTAATAATTGCTTTGCAGTGATACTACTTGATAAATTACTCCGCGCAGTACGTAAACCCAAAACCATGCAATAATTTAAGTAGTTATAAAGTAAGCAATGTAATTACACCCTAAGACAACACACAGCAGTATTGGTTTTTATGCCTCTGGTATGGGGGAAAAAATTATGACCGCAGTGCTTTTTAAATATTTGTACTTGTGAGACTTGTTCATCAAAGTTGATTAAGTTAAAAGGACTGGTTCTCGCTCACTGTCTCGCCTCAAGGTGCCCACAATTTCATTAGGCAGTGTTACGCTGCCTGGCCATCAAAGACTTGCACTACCTGCAGTGTGTGTTTGTGTGACGCATCGTTGTTTTCAACAATCACATCGATACAGCTTGTTAAATTGAAAGGAAAAAAAGATTATTGAAATGGAGAACTGAGGCGGAGAGAACCCTAAATAGAACTTTTGCCGTCAGCCGGTCACTAACTGATGTATTTTCAGTCTGTGTACTTATTCTCCCTTTCTGTCTGTGTCTTACATCCACACACACACTATAAAAAAGTACCCTCATACATGATTAGGTCAATCCTATCGTCAGTGCTGACAACTCTTGGACCCTGAGAAGCCTGCAGTGCACAAGTGCATTATAATGAAAGTCTGTAAACTGACGGCCCAGATGTCACCACGGCATAAATGCTGATTAGGCTTACACTCTCTCAGACAAACTTTTTCATGTATCGGAGGCAGGCTACAAGCTCAGTGGAATAAAAGAGCTAAAGTGCAGAGGGGAAGATATTTATTGGGTGCAGTTTTAAGGAAAAGGTTGTCTGGGGAGAAAGAGGGCAGACTTATTCTGGGCAGAATGGCATGAAGCGCTTTCCTGTCTGAAAAGATGTTATTATTGTGTATTGTGAGATCCTCTGACATCTTCAGCTTATGCCATTTTAAACATCATCTTGGAAAAAAAGCAAAAAGATAAGTGTTTTGTAAGGTGCTACTCTTGTTGTTATTCGCTCTTCTAGCTGTTGTTCAGGTGTCATATTTAAACAATTATGATCAGATAAGTGTGAACTGCAGGGTGGGCTTTTTTTTTCTCCCCACTGCACCATGTTGCCTAGGTAAACACAAGCTGTTCCAGCTAACCTTAATGTAATTTTCTCTGCTCCACGAAAAGAACAAATGTCCACTGGGCTCATTTACGGGGCACTGGCTGTGTTTAATGTAGCACTTTTAGATTTAGTGTTAACCAGACAGCACTTATTGATATTAAATATTTTTTTTAATATAAAGATTTCTGTAGGGGTTACCATGTTTTGTTCTCAAAATTGCACTGTTCAGCTGTGGTGTCGATGACCTCTGACTGTAAAGAAATCACTATGTGAGCCGTACTGTACTGCAGCAGCCATGCTCGTTAAACTCCGGTTTCAAACCTGAACTTCAGTCCTCTCAAACCTGCTCCTCCAGTTTTCATTTAGTGTACAGTAACACTTAAGTTCCGTCGATCAGCCCGGGTCAAAGGGTCTTCGAGTCAGAGCTGGATTTACAGTGGAATGGGGATATTAGTCCTGTCCGCATTGATTTGTTTTTTGTTGTTGTTGTTTTTGCCCTGTATTTCTATTTCTGCTACTTTGCTTGGTCTCAGTGTTTTTCAAGGATAATTGATATCCAATTATTGTAGGTGAGGAGGTGAGAGGCTTTAAGATTTGGAAATCAGAAGTAGTTTTCACAAAGTGCAACAAGACCAAGGAGCTGAGGGACTAGAGGATCATTTATTTTGTGACAATGCTGGAGTCTGTTCAATTATTTATTACTGTGTAACTGTAATGATCATGGGGAAGAAATTAAATTGTTGTACCAGCGGAGAATGGTGCAGCTGCACTTTTAGGACAAGTGCAACATTTGCAATTCAGAGAAAATGCTCAGAGGTTGCAAGCTAGCGTCAGTAAAGGTAAGCAAGCATTAGTAACATGTGTGCAGTGCAATGTCTCCCCGGTTGTGCAGATTTCATATCTATTCACATTATCAAATCTAAATCTGAAGTATGTTAGGGGTCAAAGATTTTACCACAACCACGCTGAATTAAATGGCTGTTTCTATTTGTTTTTGTTTTGTTTTTTCAGTGTGTTTCTGGCTGAACAATTTGAATCCCTCCAGTCCCACCTGGATACAATGATGCCTGCAGCCAAGAAACCCTTCCTGCAACAGTTTTATTCCCAGGTATACTTGCACCTCCTCTTGAAAGTCTGTCTAATTACAGTAACTGTTAATCATGTCGTCACTGTCAGCTGCAGGGAGGGTTGTACCAAACATCCGACAAAGGTGGTACCACACTTTCGTTTTTTATTTTTAATCTGTCAGAGAATTATTTTATAGCCACATGTGGAAAAACCCATTACTATCCAAAAGAGTATAATGACCAATATAGTAGTCCATTACTTTGCAAGCTTGTCATGTGCCTTGCTTTGAGGCTTGGGGGGCGTAAAATTTTAACACTTGACACTTTTCAATTAATTCAATACATCTCATGCTCTGCCATATAAACTTACAACAGCTTCTCATCTTTCACTTTAAAACATACTGTAGCATATGCCCAGTATCGTTCATTTAATGTGCTCAGAAAAATATATTCCAGTTGCATTCACTCCTTTCTTTGGAACATCATTCCGCCTTTTGGTTTCCTTAAATAGCTTATTTCTCCTTACAGACAAATGACTGTGTAACTGCGACCCAGCATTCAGTCCCGTTCTCGATAAAGATATGAGAAAATTGTATTGTCACTCATAACAACCCATGAAGCCCTTTCCCAGTCTTACATTTATTTTGTCCTCTTGACATTTGAAATGTTCAGGTACACAGACAGGTCTGTTTTCCCCAAACATCAAATGAATGTCATGTCCTATAATTTCACTCTTTCAAATATTGTGTGATTGATGACATTACATAACCTGCGCAACATGTTCATCTCGGAAGAGACGTTGACTCCATGCCTGCCTCATTGCTAACAATACAAAACATTTAAATCAACGTGTTGAATCTATCACACATACTGTATTGTATTCTCCCTTCTTTCTCTCAGACGGTGTCTACAGCCAGTGAGCTTCGGAAACCAATATACTGGATTGTTGCAGCCAAGGCCATCGACTACGAACAAATGTTGCTCTTGATGGCTGGAGTTAAATGGGACATTAGGGAGATAATGTCACAGCATAATGTATATGTGGACGTCCTGTTAAAGGTGATGTTGCATAAGAAATGTATATCACTGTTGCTAACATGTGATGTGCTATAATGTATATTGATGGTTTATAAAGAGATGTAGAAACAGAATAGAATTGGCACTCTTTATTATGATGGGAATGGAAACATTAAAGCAACATTAGTTTTTGTTTTATTGTTGTTTTGCCACTGGTGGAGCCAGTGGGAACAAGGTGTAAACACAGCACTGAAATATTAGCAACATTAGTTGTGGCTGAGGCCAACAATTCAATTTAACTCCAATATTCACTCTTCTTTAAGATCTGTTTTTAATCTTCATCAACTCCTAAGGGAAATATCTGGATCTTTAGCAGCTAAATACTCCATTTTGTTTACCAGCTAGACGCTAACTTCGTGTGCCGTTTTGTGCTTGGCAGGTAGTGTACAGTCAGTTAATCAGAGCTTTTACACTGCTGTAACATTTTCTGAGCATAAAAACCAAAACAGTGAGCTGAAAATACTCAAAAATCTAAAAAAAATATTTAAATCTAAACTCTTAAAGCTCAATGGAACTACAGAGTCGGTTCATAATTATCTGTGGATTTGTTTCTACAATTGGCCCCTTCTGCAATGCATGTAGCCATTGTTAATAATGAGGTATTGGTTAGTGCAGCTTTAGAGTTTAAAGTTTTCATGTCAAATGTAAATTAGTCACATCGCTGCATTGTTAATCCTAATTTGTGCTGCGTTAAGATTCTGTTCAAAACACAACATTGAGACTTCACTGGAACAGCCTTTTCTTATATTTCATAGAGAAAATATGCAAACATCTCCCCATTAAGATTGTTGCATCATTTATGCCACTGAGACTCTTTGTCAGTTGAATATAAATGATGGTAGCAAGACTACTGACATCCCTATTAAAATCTGTTTTGCTGTTCTAGTCTATTTTCAGGATAAGTTCAGACTTATCACAGTGTTTATTATTTTTCCCAAACCAAACACTAACTGACCACTGCAGCCTTCTCAGTGTCCTGCACTATCCACAATAACAAAAGTAGAACACACAAAAGGCAGTTGTAATAGTTTTGCTTTTATCCAGCAGGGATTTTTCTCTCATAGTGGGAGTTTTTTGTACTTATAATGTGGGGTAACCTTCTAACATGTGTGTCATTGATGTGAAGTATTACCCTTTAATCCACTTAAAGTCCAGAACACTTAGGGTCCTTGTTGCCCCTCCTGAGTTTAAAATATATTCAGGGATATCAATTATTTGGGATGGGGTGAATAATTTAGAGCCCGGGTCAGCTGTTGAGAGCTGAATGTAGATCTCCCTTGAAGTTTCAGCTTTGTTTGAGACCTTCGAGCTCAGCGGTCGCAGACATATTTTTGGAATGCAAAGTTTTCCACTAAACGTGTGTCTTTATGCATGCTGGCCACTTATCCCAATAAATTTTGGATGGGGTGAAAGGACACACGGCACTAGTTTTCTCGCCTGTGACGTTCAGATACAGAAAGGTCTTAAGTTGTTCGCTGCGGTGTGAAATCCTGAACAGCACCAAAGCGAGACAAATACCCATATATAGTATGCACCAGCATGTCTTAGAGAGCTGTTGATTAAATCACAGATGTTGTTGTAATAGATAAATAAATATATAGACAACCAGTCAAAGTTAAGTTATCTGCTAATGAAATGGCTCGCATATCGTTGTCTGGCTCTAACAAAGTGTAAGTCTAACTAATTTAGCTTATGAGCTAAATTGCAAAGGAGAAAATCTCTGTTACACTGGTCTGGTTTATATGGCGATTTGGTGTCAAAATGGTCCAGCTGATGAATTGACATGGTGCATATTACAACTAGCATGTGCTTTTCCCCATCAGGTGCTAATAGCCTTCTCTGCCAACTTGTCAGGCCCTCATAACACGTTTGGATTGTGTTATGTGTGTTGATTGAAAAGTGTGCGCTACATTTTGTTGTACTGCTCAGGAGAATGTTGTATTCATGGATTCAGGTTGATCACCAGCTTTCAACAACGGCATTGATTTGCATATAAAGTGGCATGGAAATGCGGCAGCCTCAGAATGACTTCATTGACAAAATGCTTAAGTCAGAAACTATTGTGGGACTGTTTGTGAATAAATATCATTTCATTCTATGGAAGCCAGGTTCATTTTTTGAAACACAATGCAGTTTGAATAAACGCCATCAAGACACAGTAGAAAACCACATACTTCTCCTGAACCATGTACTGCTATTTGTTCCCTTTAAACAGGGACATAATATCATAATCATATAATTTCATCCATAATTGATCATTTCAGAGTGCAGTTGCATAGCTGCAATCCCTTCCTTCAATACTGTACAGCACATTTTTGATTCCTGCAGCCTGCATATTCCTCTGGGATATTTCCTCTTTATTCTTTAAAACATAAAAGAGAGAACATTTTGAGGCTAGTTGTAACAAAACCCTCATGGCTGGTGTCCCTTTTTTCGTGCTAGGGCATGAAAATGATATCTTATAGGAAGAAATTGAGATACTTGTTGAGGAGATGTTAATACAGGTGTCAAAGGTCATCTCAAGAATGTATTGGAAGATATCAATCAAAAGAGACTGAATGTCGACTCATTTAACGCATCATTTGTCGCTTGGTGGATTCAAACATCCTGCTGACGTCTGTTAGGTACCTTTATGAAGTTTTGTTACCATCAGTCCAGAATGCAAAACCATAGAGTTGCTGTACAATAACCCAGACATACTGTATGCTGCTTAGTCTGGGGAAACAGTAAATTAGCTTTGATTGATCTGATTTACTTATACCATTATTACTTATACCACTACCAGAGTATGTACCATATATTAAATGACCAAAGTATTTAAAAAAAAAAAAAAAAAAAAAAAAAAGAGATGCAGTTTATTCTTTGCAGACTGTAAATAGTTGGGTTGTGCAATTCACAGTTTTATAACTCTGTAATGCTTTTCCAAGTTAAGATTGGGGGAGCTGGTGTTGGGTGTGATCCAGGAACACAGAGTAGCTGAGAGCGTGTCAGAGGCAATATATTTCTGTTGTTGTTCATGAAGACTTCTATTTTGTTATTGTTCATATTTGATCCCATAGTGGTTTGTTTCCTCTTGAGACTTGTTTGTGGCTGCTGTTGTGTACTGTTGCAGGTAACTTTTATAGCACTTAGGTTGTTTAGTTTTGTAATATACCTTTCACAAACTGGTAATGTGATTTTGGATATATCTTTAGAATACAAGTTTAATGTGTCTGATTACATAACAGAAAATTCACACTGATTTAATTTTCCAATTTTAAAAAATCCACCTTTTCAACAAAATTTACTTCTACTTCTTTTCATTTTACTTTACTTAACGCTTGTGTTCACCTGCGCTCCTCTCCTCCACCTTTCCAGGAGTTCGAGCAATTCAACAAGCGGCTAGGTGATGTTTCCAGACATGTGCGCATCCCACTGCCTGTGTCCAACGTCCTGTGGGAGCACTGCATCCGTCTGGCCAACAGGACTCTTGTAGAAGGGTAAGAATGTAATAAAACAACTCTTCAGCACCAGGGGGGGATGTGTGCAGCCCGGCATCTCACTAGTGAAGTTGTGGCCAAAGCTTTTTGAATTAATTATTGTTAAAACTTGTGTATTTTTGGGCATCCTATACCCCCCTTTCCTTCTGTATCATTCAGTCAAAAAAGCAGCGTGACACAGTGAACAGTACAAATGTACATGGTTGTTTATTTAAACAACAAAATGAGAATTTGTAACCCTTATTCGAAAAGCCTACTTTGTTGCGGTTTTGCCCTTGGTCTCTAGTTAAGAGCAAACCACAGTTTGTAAGCAAAAGTCACATGGACTCAGAAGCGAATCAGTTATCGCAGAGAGTCTTTATAACCTGTCAAACTACCTGTTTTAGCATTTTAAAATTCTGATTGCAGTTCATCCAACTTTACCCAAGCATGATGGACCTCTCTGTACACTTTGTGGATTTCTATTTATTCCTGTTAAGAGCACTTGAAGAGTAAGAGCACAAGTCCAGATTGCCGTTTGCCCTGGGTTGTGATTGTCACGCCAGGCTTTCCCACACAAGTAAAATCCATCTCTTTATAGCCACAAAAACATGTGCATATCCAAGTCTGAGAAGGACTGTTGTCAGCTCCTGAATGTACTAGCAGTTCCTGGCTAGCAGTTCCTACTTGCTTAAATACAGTTATTCATATTCAAAATCATTGAATATAACAATTATTGATAGTTTTTCAGTACAGTAAAAGCCTCAGTCAGCAGTAAGGCTTTGTATGTTAAATATTTCTTTAGGATATTCCAGCAGCTATTCAAGAAGAAATTCAATGCTATTGAAGTTGATGCTGGATTATACTGCGCTGCAAGGAAAACACTAATGTAAGCATGCAGCATCCAGTGCAGGCCTGTAGGATAGTAGTTTTATTTCATAAAACCATGGCGGGGGTTTGGAAGTCGATTGTCCTTTTTCTTGTTATGTCAGTCCTTTTTGCTTGAAAAGGTAACTTTACTCTCAGGTTACAGTTGTAAGTGGTGTCCCTAAGCTTGTCATGTACACGCACCACTACAGCATTCGTGAGTGATTGCATCACAGTGTTTTAATGGTGCTTTCAGACCAAACGCGAATTTAATCCTCACGACGCTTTCCTCGCGTGAGTACATTCACTGCAAGTGTTCACACACAATGCAAGAAGGCGATTAGAACCTGCGAAAACTTGCTTGAGTTGGAAATTTTCAACTCATGCGAAGGCCTTCGCGTTGCCTTTGCGTCACCCGACGGTCTGAAAGCACAGTTAGACCCCATCCACTCGCATCAATTGCGTTTTTACAGGAAAGCCTACAGAGATACTGATCGAGGAGGAATGGAATTTTTTTCTCTCCCCTTTATGCCTTTCTTAAATGTTTTTTTTTCTCTGTGTTTATCCCTCAGTTTGAACATCTGCACATCATAAATTTAAAAAAAAGAAAAAGATTCTTTCCAAAGCATGTTGTCAAGCACCGCAAAGAACAGGGGAAATTACCTGCAGTACATGAGAAACCTGGAGACTCTGTTGCCAAGTTCCTTTGGTATAATCCCCCAGGAAAACCACTCTTAAATCCTTGTCATCTCCTTCTCTTCTCATGCAGCCCTTCTGTGTCTCTCTCCAGCTTTCACCAAAGACCCATCAGGGAATTGCATGACACAGGCCACTCACTCAAACCACAGAACGCTCTTGACACATCCCCTGTAATGCATTCTATCACTTTCTCCCTTGTAAGCTGGGAGACCCGAGGCGTGATCAGTGACAGAACGTCAGAGTGTGTTTTCTTTACTCGGCTCGTGTGCGTCGAGTGAATGTGGGGAAAAAGGTTTTTAGATTGAAGGTGTTATAAACCCCCCCTTCTAATCAGACAGACTGGATTCACAGCAACACTGAGTCCGGCCGGCTGGATGGTGACGAAGTGCTAACAGCTGACGATTATAATGAGGTTGCACACATTTTATTGGGAACAAGAAATAGGCTGATGTCGAAGCCAAAGTCGTCCTGGGCTGCCAGTTTGCGCAGGTTACAGTTAAAGTGTAGGTGGGGTTGTATTATCTGCTGGTTCCCTAGTGAATCACATTAAGCCTGTGGCAAAGAACCTTGGTGTTTGGTTTGATAGTAATTTAAATTTCGAGCAGCACACCACAAAGCTTGTTCAATCATGTTTTTATCAACTTAGAAATATAGCAAAAATTTGATCTATGTTAACTTTTAAGGACACCAGGACTTAATTACACTGGCTCCCAGTGTGTTTTAGAATTGGCTTTAAAATTCTGTTGATCACTTTTAAAGCTCTTCATGGCCTCTCGCCTTGTTATATTTCTGACCTTTTAGTCCCATACACACCAGCACGTACCTTGAGATCCTCGGGCAGAGGTCTGCTGTCTGTTCCAGAGTCTCGACTGAAAACTAAAGGGGACAGAGCGTTTGCTGTCAGGGCCCCGAGGCTCTGGAACAGCCTGCCCGAGGAAATCAGGTCGGCTGAGTCAGTGAACTCTTTTAAGTCCCTTCTTAAAACATACTTTTATAGGAGAGCCTTTCCCGATCTTATTTGACTTTATTTTATCCCTTTTATTTTATTCTATTTTACTAATTTTATATTTATCTTAAACGTGTATTTTAGTCTTTTCAATGTTTTCATGCTTTTATCTTCTATTGTTTTTGTATTATTGTCTTTACACTTGTTAAAGCACTTTGTAACTTGTTTTTGAAAAGTGCTCTACAAATAAAGATTATTATTATTATTATTATTATTAGTTGGCGCAGCAAATTATTTAGGTTCAAAACAAATGCTTGTTAAGTGGTTTAGTGTTTGCGAAGTGTTTTAAGGGGGAGAGAGAACATTGAGAAACAGGAAAAGGGAACATGTTTACCTCCCAACACATTAGTTGAGCACTTTTCTTCCCATTGCGTAAGAGAACTTTTGAACTTTCCAATGAACAAATGGCCCATTACAACTGTGATGCTCTGCAAATTTAAGCTGCTGCTGCAGTCTTCTGCCGTCTGCTTAGTTCTCCTAGTACACTCCCTCCACACACACATAAACACACACATATCTCCCCACCCCTCTGGCACAAGGTGAGTGGTCATATTTGTTTGTTTGTACTCCGACGCGCTCAGCCTGTTATTCAATTTCTCTGTCCAGCGTTCGTCTCCCCTTAGAGATTCACAGAAATTGCTCTGTTAGCATTCTGAGGAGCTCAGACACTCAGCACCAAACTCTGGCAGGCCTGACAAGCAAAAAGAGAGAGAGGATGAAAGAGAGAGGCGATGAAAGAGGGAGAGAGGGTGAGGCAGAAAATGGAAAGAGAAGAGAGAAAAGCTGAAGTGTGAGACAGAGCAGACCTGGCTGTGTGGTGTGTTAATGTACTGTAGATGTCACACACACACACACACACACACACACACACACACACACACACACACACACACACACACACACACACACTGAAATACATCAGTACTCTGGCCCACACACATATTTACTGACAGCTGTGTTGACCGAGCTGACCTAATGTTTAATGTAAGACACAAGCACACACACACAGACTCATATATGTCCTTCTTTTTAACCTTTTATTTGAATTTGAGTTGATTCTGTATACGCACACAACATGCTCTCCAAATATTTACAAAAGGTAAAAGTAGAAAACCAAACCTAAACACACAGATTCAATCCGACAAAAAATATCGTATGAAGCAAAGTATAAATTTTAATAATATTTAATAATAAAATTGAAGCATAATTGAATATAAACACAAAAAGTGAATGTATTTTACCTACAGACCTGAATGAAATGTGTGACATGTACATTTAATTATTGTAGGTATTATTCATACAAATAGTATTGAAATATTAAGTACTTCTCTCCTATTTTCGTTACCTTTAAAAAAAATAAAAATAAAAAAAGTATTTACAATTGTTTTTAAAAACTCTAGTGGATTCTCAGTGTCTTCCTTCATCTGGTGACTTAAGTCACCACACATTTCTTTGATTACTTTGCTGCTGCAGTAGTGATGGTATTGCCATTATGACATTGATTAAAAATTGGCATATGACAAGCTGAAACACATCTTCTAGACAAATCTAATGCATAACACATTCACAGTGAAATACACTCACCGGCCTCTTCATTAGGTACACCTGTTCAATTGCTTGTTAACACAAAAAGCTAATCAGCCAATCTCATGGCAGCAACTCAATGCATTTAGGCATGTAGATGTGGCCAAGACAACTTGCTGAAGTTCAAATTGAGCATCAGAATGAGAAAGAAAGGGGATTAAAGTGATGTGTATATAGTACGTAGTGTGCTTGTTGGTGCCAGACGGGCTGGTCTGAGAATTTCAGAAACTGCTGATCTAGGATTGATCTGGGATTTTCACACACAACCATCTCTAGGGTTTATAGAGAATGATACGAAAAAGAGAAAATATCCAGTGAGCGGCAGTTGTGTTGACAAAAATGCCTTGTTGATGTCAGAGGAGAATGGGCAGACTTGTATTAAGGATTCAGGCTGGTGGTGTAATGGTGTGAGGGATTACCAATTGAGCATTGTTTACACGCGACAGCCTACCTGAGTTTTGTTGCTGACCATGTCCATCCCTTTATGACCACAGTGTACCCATCTTCTGATGGCTACTTCCAGCAGGATAACGCACAAAGCTCAAATCATCTCAAACTGCTTTCTTGAACATGACAATGAGTTCACTGTACTACAGTGGCCTGTGCATCCGATAGAGCACCTTTGGGATGTTGTGGAACTGGAGATACACATCATGTATGTACAACTGACAAATCTGTAGCAACTGTGTGATGCTATCATTTCAATATGGACCAAAGTCTCTGAGTAATGTTTCCAACACCTTGTTGAAAGTATGCCACGTGAAAGTGGCCAGTTAGTGTACCGTTGAGAGCTAAAATGAAATAATTTAAAAACATTGCAATAGGCTTAGATACATGACTTGATCATCAACACCTGTGATGACTTTCATGAATCAAAAGTAAGATAACACAGAATTGACTTGTACCTGAACATTCTTCTCTTCCCTTTCTGCTGTTTTGTCCTCTATCTACTGCAGCTATGCTAATGTTAAGAAATGTAGCAATGAGGGCCGAGCCCTGATGCAGCTGGATTTCCAGCAGTTCCTCATGAAGCTGGAGAAGCTGACCGACCTGCGACCCATCCCTGATAAAGAGTTTGTTGAGACCTACATCAAGGCCTACTACCTGACGGAGAATGACATGGAGCAGTTTATCAAGAATCACAGGGTGAGAGTGAAGCGGGCTGGCTGATGGAGGATTTTAGCTTTAGTTTTTTAGCAACCCTACGTATAAAGTTTCATCTAAGTGGTTGTTCCGCTCCAAAATGCGAACAGCAGCACGTCTGTTTTGCTGACTTACTCTTTGTGTTTTTTGTGTAGGAGTACTCCATGAAGCAGCTGGCCAACTTGGTGAACGTTTGCCTGGGCTCACACATAAACAAGAAGGCTCGTCAGAAACTCCTGGCGGCCATCGATGACATTGACAGACCCAAGAGATAGACTGATGAACAGAGCAGACCCTGAACATATCAACCAGCCACAGAGATGGACACTCCAATGGAGGAACTCCCACAGTGAATGTCTTCATTTTCAGTTTAGAGCATACAACAAGCTTTACGGTACACACAGAAGTGTAGCTACTATATACATCAATTGTTAGTCAAATGCTAATTATCTATTAACCTACTGTCCTTATGTGGTCAAAAACACAAACTGCCACTTGTTGAATGCACCTCTTGGCGTGCTTATGGGCATAAATGCTGCAACTTTCACTCTCAAGCATGCTGCAGTTACTCTACAGTAGATATACCATAATGCATGGCCTCTCGTTCATTAAACAAACATGCCGCTAATGGAGTTTCTCTGCAAAATGTCAGCAACCACAAACAATTTCAATCTCTTCAATGACCATAAGGAACAGATCTTGAGGAAGTTTCAGACTACAGATACGGGATCTAACAGTGTAATGTGGGCCGTTTACAGCATTCCATCTGTTGTCACTAAATGTGCTTAATTTCCAATACAACTCCAACCTTTCAGTTAAACGAAACAATGAGTAAACATTTATGAGTTGCTAAATTTGATAGTTGCGTAATGTTAAGTTTTGTGGTGAACACGTCCCAGTTACAGATCCAAGAAGAGTCTGTAGTAGTTAGAAACCTCCTATCTGGTGTAAAGCTTTGTTACATGATTGAATGTTCCCCTTGATAGAGATACAGTAGATCTGGGTTATTAATCACTTTAATCATTCATTGTAAGTTATTCCACCCCATGTGTGTGCTGTCTATTATTTCACTTCAGGGTATTTGTTGTGCCTGACTGGATGCTCTGCTTCTTTGTTTGTTTTGTCTGTGAATTACACAAATCTAATATAATGATAATTCTGAAAATAATATAAATTACCGTAGTTAGCGTAAATGTATTTTATATGTGCACCAGCTGCATTTGATTGTTTGCTCGGAGGAAATGATTTTATTGTGCTGGGGTGAGGTTCTGAAAGTTTTTGTAAGATTGCTTCTGTTCGATTTCAGTCTCCAGCCTTCTTGCTGAGCAGTCAGATGTTGGCTTTTTAAAACAAATTTGTTTTGTAGGTTTGTGCAGTCTGACACTGGTTATGTGATTTCTAAGGAGTTAGTAGTTGAAGTGTGTCGACTACAAGAGCCTTCCTCTAAGGCTTTAAGCTGCCCACCCCACCAGTCATCTCAATTAATTTAACCTGACCTGCCCAGAGGGCAGATTGATTTACTGTTAAAAGGAAAAAAGCAGTGAAGTTGCAGGTTTTGTACTGCTTCATGTTTTGTGTGCAACTATTCCAAGAAGATACTGTAAATGTGAATGTTTTGAACAATGTCTGTATTTATTTCTTGCTTTGTGTCTTGGTTGAGTTTTTATATGATAATTACTGAAAGTGTGCTGTTATTTATCACCTCTCAGTATCTGGTAACGCATCGGCTGAAGCTAATACAAATAGATAAACATTGTCAAATTATGTTAAGGGTCAAGTGCACTATAGTGAAAATGAGTAATCAGTGTTGGAACTGTAGGATGAAGCAAAATGATTCTAACATATTAAACACTAACAAATAGACTCTTACTGTCTGTTATTCTTACACACCGTATCCTTTCAGTGCTATGAATAAACTGCATAACCTATAAATCATATCCAACCTTTAAAATCCCTGTGCTCCAGCAGTTTGAGTAGTTGTTACCATTCATAAAAATATGAGTGTTGCCTTTCAGCAGCACCGCTGTCCATCCTAATGATGCTTTACTCAGCCAGAAGCAGGACACTGTCAGATTAATTAATTTGGCTTCCTGTGTGGTTATAAGCCCACAGCCTTCCTGTTTAAAGGGGAGCCTACTGATCAGGTTGGACTGAAAGAACTGTGAAGAACTCATAACTTTGATGACTCGCTGTTTTTATTATACTGTAAAACTTCAGTTAATAGCCCGGGGTTTATTTGCTTCAATGACTGAACTCACCATGCCTATATTTTGGACAGGTGTCTATATGGGACAGGCCTTAAATTCCTTACCCAGAAAAATCTTGCTCCGCAAAGATGGGAAATAAGCTACTATCGAATTGTTCATTTCAATCATTGGGAATATTACTTGTGTAAAAAATTAGGCTATCAGAGAATATATCAATTACAAATCATTCACTTGATCTAGCTCTGAGAGACAGCCCATCTAGGCCAACCTCATGCACAGATAGAGAGACTACCGTAGAAAGCTGGCAACCCGTTGGGCTTTACGATGCTTTATACATCCAGAATCCAGGCTTCTAATGGAGACCTGCGTTTATTTGTCAAAACATGTAGCCACACCGGGCCAGTAAGATGTATGTGTGATCAAGCTGAACATGTTCTTCCTCGAGTGGACAATCATTGATGACTTGGCCTAGTGGTTAAGTTTAAACATATATACAATAGATGCCGTCTTGGGAATAAACCCATTATACCAGCCTTATTGCATGCATGCATAAAGAATGTTTCTTTTCATAAACAGTATCTTCCACATCCACCAGGGAAAGAGCAAAAGAAACTCTTGTTGAATTTTATTGGTTATGTATAGTTTTTATATCAGATACACCAGGATAAAACCACCAAACACCTCTAACAGAATTTGCGTTTCAGTGTGGATCTAGTCAAATATATTAGCCCTCTTAAAAAAAACAGACAATATATAATAATAAAATGGGATTTAGCTATTTTTTATGGTTTATTGACTGCACATTTGTAAAAGGGAAATATGCTTCAGGTTAGCTCAAAGCTAAAGTGAAGCCTACCTTTACATCTTCACCAGGCATGGTCCTTTTGCTACCTAAACAAAAGGTGACCTAACTTGTAACTTATTTTAAAGTCTTACTTTTATGAGATATCCAATTTTTTTTTTGCACTTTAAGTGAGGACTTCTATTTTGATTCTTAAAGCACTTTGCACACCACACTGAAGGAGGTAAACACCTGACATGTTGTGTAAATGAGGTGAGGCCAATGAGCTTGATAGCCAGACGGTCAGAGGTCGAGTGGCGCTGCGTCCTGGATGAGAGGATGCATAAGGTGAGTTTGCTTAGTAGTATCCAACTGGATGCTCTCTTTCTACGCTGCTGTTGTTGCTGCTATCAGCATCATGCAGGTCCCTCCAGGCATCCACATGTGGGCTTTATTCCTTCATGGTTCACCATTGAGGGGGTATATCAGTATCAGTTTTGGTGGCTTTTAATGATGCGTCTAGGCAGCAACACGAAACAGAGCAATGACAAAAATGACTGTATATTGACATTTATTCCAGTTAAGTATCCCTAATGGCAGTGTGACAATTTGTCACCCTGCAGATTCTGTTTTTGCAGTTTTCATGACAGCGTTTGGCCATTGAACCCTTGTATGCTGCCTTTTCTTGGGTTCCCACCCTGTGATGCCGTGGCCCACTTACCCTTTCAGATAAAAGAACAGGCTCCTACTTGTCTGCACTACTGCCAAATTTCATCTGCCAGTCCCATAGAAATCCCTATCACTGATGGCTTCTGTTCCCTCATTGTCTGCTGATATGCATTCACACAGACTTCATTCATGTCTGTTCATACAAATATTACTGAGAACAATTGCTGGCATAGTCCATTAGTAATGTTTACTTTGCATGATGATTCACAAGACAGAGACATGACAGAGGAGGGGGAAAGAGTTAAAGTAAATGTGGCAACCAGAGGAGATGCTGATGATCTGTGCTGGTTGTACATGAAAGATAAATTTGTACTTGAGTAGGAGATGGCCAGATGAAGTGCAGACAGTATTTAGATAATGAATTCTCCACAAAAAAAAAAGTGCTATATTTTCAGGCATGGGACCGTCTGAAATATGGATTACAAACCTTCTGAATTTCCTAATGTAAAATTTGACTAATAGCAGTGGTGGAGGAAGTGTTCAGATCCTTTACTTACAAACTGCGAAGTCCTGCATTCGAAACCTTTACCTGTACCTTTAGCAAAATGATTTTAAGTAGCAAAAGTAAAAGTACTCATTGTGCAGTACAATACATCAGTGATTTACTATTATATGCTGTTTATGAATAAATATTACTGCTGCATTAATGTTGCATTTTCCTGCTCTAGATGATTAAGGTTGAGTTACTTTTAACTACTTTATGTACTGCTTGGTAGTTTAATCTACAGCATTGTATGTTATTCTATCATCATGTTTGTGTGGCTTTGCTCTACTGTGAGAACCACATCTCTAAAAAGTCAACTTCTCAAGAGTTTTAGGCTTTGTGAGGATGCATTTTCCAGCTAATCCAATTAGGCATTTTGTTTATTTAGTTTAAGACGTAGGATAATTTTTCTCCTACGTCTTAAACTAAATAAACAAAACCCATAAAGCAACACTTAATCCGCCACCTTGTCAGAAACATTAAGATTCTAAATCCCCAAATTTGGAGATACATGGTTGTGACTGGACAGGTAGGGTATGAAAAATTGTAAATCGAAAAGTAACTAGTAACTAAACCTGTCAGACAAATGTAGTGGAGTAAAACGTACAGTAGTTGTTTCGGAGATGTACTGGAGTAGAAGTATAAAGTTGCATAAAATGTAAATACCCAAGTAAAGTACAAGTAGGCCTACCTACTGCTGAAGCCCATCAGACCAAACAGATTCAGATGATGTCGAGTAAAGTGAGTTTTAGTAAATCTGGAGAAACAGAGAAAGTCACGTTAGCTCCCCGGCAAAGTTATATCGCTTTCCACATTACTTCACCAACTAACGCCACCCATGTTACTATCCTGTGTACCACTGTTGATTTAGCCTGCAAGAAAGGATGTAACGGTAAAAAAGCAAATGTGGAGCGATTTGTTTACTAACGTTAGCCTATAGTGATGCAGCCAGCTAACGCTACAGTAGCTCGGACCTGCCGCTGTTTGCTTCGTAACATTCAATTTAGGTTTATTGTGGTTTTACCAATACTCAGGTACACAGTTTCTCCACCTCTCTGTTGCTGTAACTAACATGATCCACATAATATACAAAACTGCAACTTCACAGCGACAACAACCCACAGGAAGAGCCATGCACTAAAACTAACACTAAGTTATAAAGTGTGACACAATCTCGTTATAATATTCAGTCCAGCTCAGTCCAGCTCACTACCCGTTTCGTTATCATCCAATACATTTAGCTGTGCTGACATTGCTGAGCCTCGGGTGAAAGATACACAGATAGTAAAGATAGTTACTGAAAGCAGCAGGCGAGATAACAATGTAGCACGTCGGCTAACGTGCAGTAGGGGTTTAGCTGAGTTTCCAGTATATTGTGTGGAGTTGTCTCCCTGCCTGTCTATAGCCGCTGTCACACTGCCTTTTTTCCAGTAGGATTGTGCCGATATGCAGCTGGCTGCGCTGAATTAAGTAACTTTACGGAGCCGGTGTTAATCTGCCTCTGAGACGGGAATGTTGAAGTAACAGAGCCTGAACATGTCTGAGTGAGCCACAGCCTGCAAGCTGGTGTTCCTGTATTATTGCAGGATTTCTGTATGAAAGTGGTTGTGTTTTGGGTTATGCTCGCTCATGAGTTCAACTGAGCGCACGTATGAGCACATGCCTCGTAGCCAGGGGTGTAGGAGCGACTTTGAACCTGAGGGGGATGCATAGGGCTAGGGGGGTTCGGGTGTAAACCCCCCCCCCCCCCCCCCCCCGATTTTTTTTTTTTAATAAAGCACTTAAATGCTCATTTCTATGACTTTTAAAAACAGAATGAATTTATTAGTGTGGCTCAAAGAGGGTATTTGCAGTGACAGAAGATGGAGAATAGACTGAAGAGGGGAGATTATGAAAACTCGGGTGCAGTTTACTATAATTTGAACAAAACCGACTACATACAATAAAAACCATGGAACAGCTGCTAGTTAATGTAGCCACAGTACAAATGTATTTAGTTATCCTAACGATACACTTGTGAGCTGTCTGTGATATTTCCTGTGTCTCACTTGGCCCTGACTCTCCCTGCAACAAATGTTTGTGAACACAGAACTTCTCGTCTTCAGTGCAAACTTTGAAGGCATGCCAATGGCCTAACAAAATCTTTTACTATGTGAATATTAGAATATACAGTATGTCTAGTAGCTATCCACACAACTTACAAGCTCATCCTCCTTAGTTATTTCTACTCCTACTCCTGTGACCTCTGACCTCTTAAAATACTGCAGGATGCTCATCTCTGTGTAACAATTTTGACTACTTTTAAATAGTTTATGGACACGTAGCAGAGACACATACACACCTCAGGACAGGGTTTTAAGGTCAAGGACAGGGCCAAACAAATTGCCCAGGAGTTTGTCCCTGGTCAGCCCACTCTCCAGACACACTGAAAAAAGGGATACTGGTCACCTGTTAGATTTATCAAATTATATTTAGTGTATTTTACTAAAGGGTTTTATGTTCTTAAGTGAAACGTGATAGCATTGTGTGGACTGCACATTAAATGCAGAAAGTGTGAACAAACATATTTAGCTCATGTTGGGATAAAGTTAGTCAATCAAGTGAATGTATTAGTTCTCATTTTTTCTCGCGATATTCACGCACGGGTGCAAATGCATTTCGG